TATCAGTTGGAAATCAAGGTTGCGGAGAGTGGTTGCTTTATCAACTACAGAGGCTGAGTATATGGCCTTAACGGAAGCAGTGAAGGAAGCTATCTGGTTAAAGGGACTCGCTGAAGAACTCTGGTTTCCACAGGAGAACGTGGAGGTTCATAGTGATTCACAAAGTGCTATTGCACTTGCTAAGAACTCGGTTCATCACGAGAGAACTAAACATATTGACATCTTGTTACACTTTATCCGTGATATCATAAGTGAAGGTTTGGTGAAGGTTACTAAAATTGCAGGTGAATGCAATCCAGCAGATATTTTTACAAAGATTCTGCCAGTGGAGAGATTGGAAGGAGCATTGGAGATGCTCAGAGTTACTGAGCAGTGAAGCTCATGGAGGTGATTGAGCGGTAAAGCTCAAAAAGATTTGAGTGGTAAAACTCAAAGTTTTCTGAAGTTTTGTTGAGTGGTAAAGCTTGATGTAATTGAGTGGTTAAGCTCAGGTTCCGGAGAGGAAGTCCAAGAACTGGAAAAAGTGAAGCTACAAGGAGAAAATCAGATTCAAGGTGGAGAATTGAAGTGATATGAATCAGATTTTATCTCCATAAATCTTGAGTGTTGGTGATTCTCTCGGTGAAGCAGAGTGTTTCGTTTCAGCTCAACGTGGTTTACACGTGAGGAAGTTTTGGTGGTTGTTACAAACAGCAAGGGTAAAAGCATCCTTTGCTCATCATCTTCTCTAATCGATATTGTTAAAAGCTAAAACAGATTCAGAGTTTGTTAAGGCTTCGATTACAGAGAGAGAAAGTGAGCTAGAGAGAGAGAGCTTGTAAACGATTCAATTCACCAAGTTTCTAGTGGATTTCCGAAGAGATTCTCCGGCGAGACGTAGCGTTCCGGTTTTGAACGTGAACTCGTTAAATCGTGTGTGTTCTTTCTTTTGTCTCTCTTTGTGTTCAATCTCATCGGAATCTCACAAATCGTTGTGTCGATTCGAAGTCGCATTAGTTTGATTTGGAAGCAAATCGTAACACCAAACTATCAATATATACGTAATTGCTAGTTTTTAGCAATCAGATCAATTTGGTTTCTTATTTTTAACAAACAATAAGTTACATATTAAATATTTTTCCAAAAATGTTAAACGCTGAAATTCTGTGATTGCTAATCAAGCCTACCCAAAATCAAGAACTAACAAGCCTTAACTTACGTTCATCTCGGATTAAAAAAGAATTACATTCTTCCCTATAAATAGAGAGAGCTCAACCATTGAGTCTCTTTAAACATACAACATGTTTGAAAGTTCAAGTGAAGAGGCTTATTCACGCTGCGAAAGATTCATACATGGAAGTTGTAAGGAGACTTGTGGAGGAGATGGAGGTTAACTCCAAGGAGGTGAAGCAGAGCAAAGTCATCTCAAACTGGACAATGACTGTTTGCGTGTGCAACAGTGATCACAACAGTTACTATAGTGATTCTGGCGTTGACTTTGACAAGCGACGACTAAATAGAGACTTGAGGGTTCATGTTTTATTGTTTGCAAGTGTCATTACAAATTTTGTATTACTTTCTTGGCATTTTGGTTTTTGATGATTCGGAGACTTTGGTAATTAAAATTAAGTGTATTAGGTGCTACACCAAATCAAGAAAATGGTTTTCATTTTGAAAAGCTATTACTCTACTACACCAAATCAAGGAAGTGATCTTTGTTTTGAAAAGATTATAAGGCATGTTTTGTTTAAGAAAAAAAAAGGTTGTTTGAAAAAGCTTGTCTCCAAATTTTAATGTCTGCATATTGATTTATTGAGGACCATAATCCTAATCTGGGAACAACTTTGAAATTCGAAATAAGAATCCTCGAGGTATATAATAATCTAAATTAACTCAATTTTGGCTACAATTGATAAATTCCATTGATTACTTATTTACAAGAGTAATTTGTCGAGTAGATGGACCGAAATATATTTTCGTAACACTCTATGCTTTCATGTTTTTAATTTTTTTTTGCCAAGGGAATATTTGTATAGGTTTAAAATCTGTGATTTTTTTTGGTGAGGTTTTTAAAATCTTTGATTGTAAAGCTAAACTGTTTTCATTTTTAATGAAATATTTACATTCTTAGCAAAAAAGAAGAAGAGTAATTTAATCTTAAAACACCAGTTTTTAATTGGTAATATATTAAATAATTTATCGACTAAAAAAAAGTTAAATCGAAGAGTTCATAATTTGAAAACACAACTTCATTACATTCATGGGTAACCATGTTTTTATCATTGCGCTGATGTTAAAATAACTGGATTATGATTCACAAACTTTTCCGAGATGATTTCCGAAGTAGATCTTAGATGGATTTCTAGAAATTTCCTAGGAAAAGCACGAAAAAACAAAAATATAAGGATTGTTTAAACCAGATTAATAAGAAAATTTAAGTATTGGGTTCGACAGAAAGAAAGCACCTTATTGTTACATATCGCGAAGTAATAATCACCCGATTGAAATGGGGAAGAAGATGGACCAAAGAGACAGTTCCAACACTGCAACAAAAAAATTTCCGTTATTTTTTTAGTCACTAATTCTTTTGCTTTTTTTGTTATCCAAATTTAGGAAGATGTAGGCTCGAAATCAATGTAATCTATCAAATTTTGTCGATTTTAACCTCGACATTAACAGTATCCCTGCCCATCTTGAAGATTTGGACAATCAAGCTTAATCTTTTGTAAAACCCAAGTCCAGTTCTCTTGGTTTTTACAGAAGCTTAAACTTGATTGTCCAAATCTTCAAGATGGGCAGGGATATTGTTAACGTCGAGGTTGAAATCGACCAAAATTGATGTGGTTCATGTTGGTTATTTGAACTGAAAGCTGGTTTGGGTTGTAAAATTCAGAGTACGCAAGTTTGGGTACGAAAATGCCTTCGGGGAATAGTTTGGGTTGATTTTCCCCGTTTTCCCCAATATCTTCCAATTTTAACAACTATAAGAATTAACATATTAAAACAAACAATATAACTGCATTGCTTATTTTACTAATAATAAATCATTATCTTTCTATTAATTTCCGTAGTCTTAAAAGTAATATTTTCAACTTTGGTATATATTGCCAATTAAACCTACAATTATGCTAAACCAGACCATCCTAATTCTAAAATAACACTAGATTACTTTAATAAAAATACTACAGTCTACACACACATTCCAAAATTGAATACACAAACAATTCCGTTGTAAAAAAAATACATATCAATATATATAGTAAACTACAATGTGTAAAACCATGTTAAAACAAATTATTAGACTAAAAACACTACTAAAAATATGAAACTAATATAGCCTACTAAATTAATAACTATGATATAAAACATTAACAAAAATCTAATAAAATAGAACTAATGGAAAAATAAAATATTAGCACCATGGTGTATCAAAGTCCCACAGGTTCAAATGAACTTACACCAAAATCCCGAAGTAGATCTCGCATGTATGTCCTGAAATTTCATTGGAAATTTTATTTTAAAACAAATCTAGAACCATCGATAACACCATATCTGTCAAAAACTTAAAGAGATTAATTTGTAAACAGAGTAAAATCTGAACAATGTTTACATATCTTTCCAAGTGAAAATCAGTCGACCGTCGGAAGAAAATGAATAAATGAGGCACATGCAGAGCTCTATTTTTTGGTCAAAATAATTTACTGTCTTGGTTTGTTGTTGTCCAACATTAGATATTTGTTGACCAGAAATAGACAGTTAACCGGTTTATCTAGGACAATCCCTATATTAGTAAAATAGGAGTACAAAAAATTCCTGGGTAGGGTTATTTGGGAAAAAATAAATAAAATTACCCGATTAGAACTTAGTGGATAGTTTCAAAATCGAAACACTTAAAAGAGTATTAAAAAAGTATTAAAAGAATCCCAATAACATAGGCAAAATATACTATGATAACTGTAAGTTTTAGATAATTACCAAAAAATAGCTAACCAAAATATCTTTAAATACATTTCCGTAAATTTTGTGATTATATTCTTAATCATTGATACAATATTAAATTAAAGTTTTCAAATTCGAATTTAATAGGATTTCATAAATTATGGAAATGGGTATATTTTAATTTATTATTTCGAATATTCCAAGCAATATACCTAGAAACCTAGAATCCACTCACAATGCTATATATATATATATATATATATATATATATATATGTTTGCATTTTCACCGAAGAAGAGACCAACGTTACTTCCTTGATCCTCTATATGCATTGAATTAGTTGTCTTGGAGAATAAAAGGGTTTAATCACATCCTTTGGACCCAAGATCGGATGATTTTCACTTTTTTAATCAGCTACTCAATTTGTGTGTTTTTCTTATTCACGGACTGTAGGTTTTTCATTCAATCCTTATTTTTTAATTTTACTATACCAGCTGGAATTATACAGCTATCTCACCTTTGATGTTTCTAGACACTACTAACTAGAAGAAGCGACAAATCAAATGGTGGTTGTTAGCGCAAAGAGTTTTCTATTAGGATACTTGGTACTTGGTTTAATCCGGTTATTGTAATCAGATAGATTTCCGGTTTAAATGTTGGTTAAAGACTGTAAACACTAATTAGCATATATAAGCTAATTAGTTAGATTGTTTACGTTAAGAGTTTTGTAACAGCTTTTTACATGAATGAAAGGTGTTCTTCTCTCTTCATCGTTCATCTTCTCCGATCTGTTTCTCCGGTGAATAGTTTTAATATGGTATCAGAGCCAATCTGATTTGTTGTTCTTCCGCTTCTTCTATCATCTGATTTTTCAATTTGAATCGATGGAGATGAGCTGTTCGCTTTCTTCGATTGAATCGATCAATCTTCTTTTTGTGATTTCTGAGCTTGTCGTCGGAATCTTTGTTTGTTTTCTCTTTCTTCTATTTGTTTCTTTTTCTTGACCTTGTGTGCTTGGGTTTTCTTTTCTTTTGCATTTACCTTTGCACATTTCTTGTTTCGCAATTGATTTCATTTTTTCAATGACTACTTCGAATGATACTTCGCGAACTCAGATTGACCCGAACGAGAATCCATATCATGTCAATAACAACGATCATGCTGGATTGATTTTGGTATCTGATAGGTTAACCAATGCTGCAGATTTTCACTCTTGGAAACGATCTGTGATGATGGGTTTAAATATTCGAAATAAACTTGGATTTGTAGATGGATCTATTCCGAAACCAGCTGAGAATCATCGAGATTATGGAGCTTGGACTCGGTGTAATGACATTGTTTCGACTTGGTTGATGAACTCGGTTTCCAAGAAGATTGGTCAAAGCTTGCTTTTCATTCCTACAGCTGAAGGTATTTGGAAAAACATTTTAGCTAGGTATAAACAGGATGATGCTCCTAGGATTTTTGCTATAGAACAGAGATTGAGCAAGATTGAACAGGGCTCTATGGATATTTCCACTTATTATACTGAGTTGTTAACATTGTGGGAGGAGTATAAGAATTATGTGGAACTTCCTGTCTGCACTTGTGGTCACTGTGAATGTGATGCTGCTGTTAAGTGGGAGAATCTTCAGTAGAGAAGTCGTGTGACAAAATTCTTGATGGGGTTAAATGAGTGTTATGATCAGACGAGGAGACACATTCTTATGCTCAAGCCTATTCCAACAATGGAGGAAGCTTTTAACATGCTTACTCAAGATGAAAGACAGACAACAATCAAGCCTCTTTCAAAGGTTGATAGTGTAGCTTTTCAGGCAGTAACTCCAATGGAGAATGAAATGGAGAATGCTGCATATATTGCTACTTATAATACTTCCAGGACAGCACAAAAACCTGTTTGTACTCATTGTGGGAAAGTGGGTCATACAGTTCAGAATGTTATAAGTTGATTGGATTTCCACCTGGTTATAAGACTAATACTAGTAATGGATCCAAGAATCAACAGGTCTTTACGCAATAGCAACAGCTTCAGCCTCGGATGCCATTGACTCAAATCCAGCCTCGGATGAATTATTATCAACCTCGAGCTCCAGTACATCCTTATGAGTCAATTCAGAAGGCCAATGCTATAGCAAATGTTTACTCCGAGACTAATTCAATGAATCCAGAGAATGTTGCATATGCTCCTTTTGTGCAGTCACAGTCTTACCAGTCTCTACCTTATGTGGCTAATGATGGCTCTATCCAGAACCTTCAGAATTTAACACCTCAGCAGATTCAACATTTGGTGCAGCAGTTTAATTCTCAAGTTCAACTTCCACAACAAGAATCAGATGTTGCTATTGCTGCAGTCACTGGCACTCATAATACTGCTACTATTTCTGAACATGGTATAATGGCGAATACATCTACATCTGCTACTGTTTCTTTTCCTTCTACTAGCCTTAAATATGAGAATAATAATCTCACTTTTCAGAATCATACTCTCTCTTCTTTACAAACTTTTATACCTTCTGATGCTTGGATAATAGATAGTGGTGCTTCTAGTCATGTTTGTTCAGACTTAGATATGTTTAGAGAATTACCACCATTATCTAATGTTACTGTTACTCTTCCAAATGGTACTAGGGTTCCTATTACACACACATGCACTATTTGCATCACATCAGTTTTAGTTTTACATAATGTCCTGCATGTTCCAGATTTTAAATTCAATCAAATAAGTGTGAGTTGTTTGGTTAAAACATTAAACTGTTCTGCTCATTCCTACATTTTTTGTTGCTTAATACAGGAACTTTCTCAGGGCTTCATGATTGGGAAGGGTAATCTTTACAACAATTTGCATATTCTTGATAATAAGAAGCAATCCCTTTCCTTATCATCTCATGTGGTTTGTTCTGTATCTGCTTTACAACTTGCTGATGGTGTTCTATGGCATCAACGTCTTGGACATCCCTCTCCTGCAGTTTTAAAGAAACTTGTTAGTGTTATTCCTTCTTTACAAACTGTTTCTTCTAGTGTTTCCGAATGTAAAATATGTCCTTTAGCTAAGCAAAAGAGATTAGCTTATCTTTCTCATAATCATTTAGCTTTGAATCCTTTTGACTTAGTGCATATAGATGTCTGGGGTCCTTTCAGTACAGAGTCTGTAGAAGGTTTCAAGTGTTTTCTCACTTTAGTGGATGATTGTAGCCGAGTTACTTGGGTTTATATGATGAGAAATAAAAGTGATGTTTCAATAATTTTCCCGACTTTTCTGAATATGATTTCCCCTCAATATAGCAGCAAGTTAAAAGCTATTAGAACAGATAATGCCCCTGAGCTTGCTTTCACAGATTTAGTTAAAGAACATGGAATGATTCACTATTTTTCTTGTGCTTATACACGTCAACAAAATTCTGTTGTAGAAAGAAAGCATCAACACTTATTAAATGTAGCTAGATCATTGCTATTTCAATCTAATGTTCCATTGCAGTATTGGAGTGATTGTGTTAACACGGCTGTTTTCTTAATAAATCGTTTGCCATCTGTTTTGCTTAATGATAAATCTCCTTTTGAAGTTCTTATGAAGAAACAACCTGATTACGCTTTGTTTAAAAATTTTGGCTGTCTTTGTTATATGTCGACTTATGCTAAAGATAGAAACAAATTTAGTCCTAGAGCAAAACCTTGTGTTTTCTTAGGTCATCCTTCTGGTTATAAGGGTTATAAAGTTTTAGATTTGGAATCACATTCTGTTTCAATTTCTAGAGATGTTGTTTTCCATGAGACTTCTTTTCCTTTTAAAACTAGTGAATTGTTAGCAAAGTCTGTTGATATTTTTCCCAATAGTATTTTACCTATGCCTGTTCCTTTACATTTTGTTGAAACTTTCCCTGTTAATGACCTTAGGAATGCTAGTCTTTCTCATGCTAGTTCTGCATCACACTCTGCATCACATCATGTAGTTCCACTTCGAAACACTAGTACCATTCCTATTGATCATAATACAGTAATATCTGATACTCGTGTTAATAATTAGACTAATACTAGGCCTAAACGAACACCTAAAGTGCCTACCTATCTGACTGAGTACCACTATTCTTTAGTTCCATTTCTTTCTTTATTACCACCTACAGATATAGCTCCACCTGATCCGAAAACTCAATCTTTATCTCTTTTAAAACTGCATACTACTCCATATCCTATTTCTTCTTTTATTTCTTTTGATAAGCTTTCTACTTCATATAATTCTATTATCTGTTCATATAGTCTGGAAACAGAACCAAATACTTTTAGCCAAGCTATGAAATCAGAAAAATGGACTAGTGCAGCCAATGAGTAACTCAGTGCTTTGGAATTGAATAATACTTGGGAGATTGAGTCCTTACCTCCAGGAAAGAATGTGGTTGGTTGCAAATGGGTATTCACAATAAAGTATAATGCTGATGGCACAGTGGAGAGGTATAAAGCTAGATTAGTGGCACAAGGTTTCACACATCAAGAAGGGTTAGATTATTTGGATACCTTTTCACCAGTGGCTAAGCTCACTAGTGTTAGATTTATTCCTTCTCTTGCTGCTGCTAAAGGATGGAGTTTAACTCACATGGATGTTTCCAATGCTTTTCTACATGGGGAACTTGATGAAGAAATCTATATGAGTTTACCACAAGGTTACACTCCTAAGGATACCATCTTGCCTCAGAATCTAGTATGTCGCTTGAAGAAATCTCTTTATGGTCTTAAACAAGCATCAAGACAATGGTATAAAAGACTCTCTTTAGTGCTGCTAGGAGCTAATTAAATACAGTCACATGCTGACAATACTTTGTTTGTCAAAGTAGACTTTGTTGCTTTTATAGCAGTCTTGGTCTATGTTGATGATATTCTTATAGCCAGCAACAATGATGAAGCAGTTGAAGAATTAAAGAGGTTATTGAGGTCTGAGTTTAAAATAAAAGATTTGGGGCCTGCAAGATTTTTCCTAGGACTGGAGATAGCAAGGTCTGCTGCTGGGATTTCAGTTTGTCAAAGGAAATATACTCAGAATCTTCTTGAAGATGCAGGTCTTCTTGGCTGTAAGCCTAGCTCAATCCCGATGGATCCGAACCTGCATTTAACTAAGGATATGGGAACTTTGCTTGCTAATCCGACCTCATACAGATAACTTATTGGCAGGATGCTTTACCTTACCAACACGAGACCTGATATAACTTTTGCTGTTCATCAGTTAAGTCAATTCATCTCTGCACCAACTTATATTCATCTCCAAGCAGCACATAAAGTTCTCAGGTACTTAAAAGGCAATCCTGGTTTAGGTCTCATGTATTCATCTAGTTCTGAGATATGTCTTAATGGCTTTGCGGATGCGGATTGGGCAAATTGCAAGGATACACGACGGTCTGTTTCTGGTTTTGCAATGTATCTTGGTACTTCTCTCATCTCATGGAAATCCAAGAAACAAATAGTGGCCAGTAGAAGCAGTACAGAGTCAGAATACAGAAGTTTAGCTAATGCAACTTGTGAACTAATACGGCTGCAACAGCTTCTCAGAGATCTCCATGTGATAGCTACTTGTCCTGCAAAGTTGTTTTGTGATAACAAATCTGCTCTTCACATAGCCATGAATCCAGTTTTTCATGAGAGGACTAAACACATTGAGATTGATTGTCATATTGTCAGGGATCAAATCAAAGCTGGAAAACTCAAGACTTTGCATGTTTCTTCTACAAATCAGCATGCTTACATATTGACCAAACCTCTTCATCCAGGTCCATTCTTCAATATACATCAAAAAATGTCATTGTCAATATATATCTTCCTTCAGACATAATGAAGATAAAGGCTTGAGGAGGGGATATTAGGATACTTGGTACTTGGTTTAATCCGGTTATTGTAATCAGATAGATTTCCGGTTTAAATGTTGGTTAAAGACTGTAAACACTAATTAGCATATATAAGCTAATTAGTTAGATTGTTTACGTTAAGAGTTTTGTAACAACTTTTTACATGAATGAAAGGTGTTCTTCTCTCTTCATCGTTCAACTTCTCCGATCTGTTTCTCCGGTGAATAGTTTTAATATTTTCAGCTTTTGATATTCAGTTATGTGTTTATTTGTGAATTTTCGTAAACTTATAAATAATAATCTTCAGTATGATCTACTGTTTGTTGAATATATCGATTTACTAATTTTCTGATCCTATTAGTCGCCAGCTTGATGCAGAAGCTGTTAGTGCAATGGCTAAACAAGTGCTCAAGATTGTTCCATAGAGGAATGCTTCTAATTTGTAAACCTCAGACAGACAATGTTTGATACTGACTTGAATATTTTTATTTATTATTTGTTGGATAGTCTTTTTCGGGAATGATTCTTACTTTGTGGTTAATGGTTCATCTTTGAATGTAAAGATGTTTGTGTTTGACCGCTTAGTTTCAGATATGGTCATGCTTGCTCTACTTACAATTTTGTGTCTGTTATGCTCAATAAAATGATAAGTGTATCTGCTTGAATAATTTGTAGAACGATATGATCTCTATAATCAAGATTTAACTAATCTACTAATACTAATATATTTTGGATTCTCTTTCGCAGGTAAAGTTGTACTAATAAGACTTCATATTATGGGTTCGACGTTTCTGTTCCACAAAGAATGAATAGATATGGAGAAGAATTGAGAGAACACTACAGTAGAAGAGAATTAGATAAGTAGGAAAAAAGTAAAGGTGATGAGCATTTGCTCTCGATATGCATGTGTACCTTCGTTTTAGATGAACTAGAGGAAAATCCTGGCTAGGCCCGGGTAAAAAATAATGTTATGTAGGGATATTATTAATTTTAAATGTTCTCTGTTTATTAATTTATATTTACAAATTTTTAGTTAGGTTTTATTTCTTATTACTTTTAGTATATGTAGTACTGTATTATGCTAACCACTACCCCTCTCTTAATTTATTTTCCTATCATTTGTTGTATTATTCATTTTATTCTTTTAAGACTACGGTAAATAGATTTATAACTAATACTCAAAGAGTCCAAGTGATCCATCTTTAATTAACTCAGTATGTAATCGCTTGTCCTTTCTCACTCAGTATGGTTGTTACTTGTATTCCATTAACTATAAATAATTTCATTTAATATTAATTAAATTAATTTAAAATACTGAATACATGTAATCGCAGTAGAAGGGAGATGAGGGAGAGAGAGTAGAGTTTCCATGAAATCAACATATAGGTCTGTGTTTAGCAACTCCAATTATGCCGACGGGCGACCTCATTCCAAAATTGCATCTTTTAAACTCTCTTCTGCGATCTATTGCTTTCTCTCACACAAGGATATGCGATCATACAATCTAGTAAAATCAGATCACTTGTAAATATATTGTTCCCTCATCCACGTAGATGACAACCTCCTAGATGAATACATGGCCTAAAATCTTAGCAGATAATTATCTAAATTTCATATAAGTATTATAAGCTACGCTAGTCTAATCCGGCATACACGGATGCATTCAACGTTCCTGCGCCAGTCTAATCCGGCATACACGGATTTCTTGGAGACTGAATCAGCTGAGCCAACAAGCACGGATCCTCTCACAACCAATCTACCTGCAACAGCTCCACAATCAACTTCACCATCAACTTCTTAGGTTACTAATCCATCACTTTTTGTTTCTTAACTCATGAACTTGTCAGTTTCCAGTTTCTGTATCTTAGATGACTTGTGTTTTATGACTTTTGCTGTATGACTTCTATCTAAAAATATTGATCGAATGTTTGTGGTATGACTTTTGTATCTTAGTGATTGTGAAATATATTAGTGATGTTTTCATTGTGAAAATCATGGGTTTAAAGTTCGGTTTGATTCATTTTGCAAAACACAAACCAGGTAACATTTCAAATAGCAAACCCACCACAGTTGTTAACGAAAAATATGGCCGCTTTTTAGTCATAAATTAGTCATCTGATAGTCGCCAAATGGTAGCCTAATATAGTCGCCAAATAGTCTTTAAAATAGTTACGACTACTTTACGACTACTCCTTAACGTCATAGTAACCAAAATGTCGTCGTAAACCAGTCGTAACATAGTCGTAAATGTTTACGACTATGTTACGATTGGTTTTAAATAGTCATAACTCAATCATAAATCTTTACGACTATATTACGACAAAATTTACGATTACATATATCAGTCGTAAGATAGTCGCCATTTTTTAGCGACTAAGGATTTACGACTACGCACAGTAGTCGTAACATAGTCGTAAAACATAGTTTAGCGACTAAACTGCGACCAATACTGCAGTCGCTAAATGCCTGTTTTCTTGTAGTGGCTATGTCAAAGTAAACAATTTAAGGAAACATGTAAAACACCAAAGAAAGCAAGAAAATCATTGTTGGAGCAATTACAAAATATAGATAATGATTGGAACTAAACTATAAGAAAACTATAGTTCGAACTTTGACTATATATGCAAATGTAATATATTTCCATTTATTTTTCTTTTCTTTTTTTGTCAACAATATATTTCAATTTGTTTTTCTTTTCTTTTTTTGTCAACAATATATTTTAATTTGTTATAGGTTACATATATCCGTAAATATTCCCCCGCGTTGTAGCGCGGGTCCGATCCTAGTTAATCTATTCAAATTCAAGACAATACCGTAGGTTTACAAAGTACTTACCAATAAACCAAAAATAAAGAATAGAAACAAAATATAAGAAATATACAAACAAACCTTATACAGTTTTTTCTTTAGCCAAATTAAAAAATATATATTTATACTTCCTAAGTATTAAGGCTAATAATTTTTATTCTCACCCATAAAGTTACTATATTTAGAATTAAAATATCTAAAACTTCCAAATTTGTCTTTGTAATAAACTAATCCATTAAAATACAAAAAAAATCACACACGCACACTTATAATAACACTGCCAATATTTTTAAGAAATAAAGAAATTACAAACCAACCATGAGTAAAACTAACCAACAATAAAATCAAACACTAATAACCATATGAAACTTATGTACATAATATCAAAAACTTTCTTACTAACAATATTCAATGAAACAAAACATCTAAAAAACATTAGACTATAAAATTAATTATGAAACCATAGACCCGCGGTGTACCGCGGGTTCAAACCTAGTATAAAAGAGAATAAACAAGTATAATAAATATTAAATGATAAATGAAAATTGACACGATAACATAATAATTATCCAGCAAATCGACAAGTGGTTAGAAAGTTTTCTCACTTTTCTCTCCATAGAGGGATACACTTGTCATTATTACACTTCTTATGAGAGAGAACTAATTTACAAATAATTGATGTCTCCCAATTAATTTTTCAGTCAACTAGGGTCATACTTTTAACAATCCCTTATCTCATTCTCTCATCATCTTCTTTATGAAATTTGTTTGCTTTGTTTTTTTTTGTTGTATGAGTTTTAAAAAACAATTTAAATATTATCATACAAAATTTCAACTGTAGGAACTTTTAGAGACTATATGATATATTGATAGACATCTTACGTTATTATAATTTTTTGTTTTTTTTTTGAAAATTCATCTTTATTTTCTATTTTTGATTATCACCATATAAGTACACTCAATCCATTAATTCGTGTATCTTTAATATATTTTGGGAAAATTGGAAATAAGAGACATATTTTTAAAACTTTGTCCATATATACCTTTTTCTAAAAGTTTGGTGAATTAAGATTTAATGTAGATTAAAATCCATTTATACACTCAAAGTAAAATTAAGGTAATTTTTAAAAACTATTTTATGTATTAATTTAAGCATAGAAAGAAAACAAAAACCTTAATTAATAAAATCGACCCATTTATTGAGAAAAGAACAAAACCCTCTTCCGCTTTGCCTACTCCGCCTCAGCTGTTCGGCCGTGCCTGTTCCGCCGCGCCTGCTCCGCTTCTCCTTCTTCGACGAAAACTGGATTGTGTATGTTCTCCTCCTTCTTCTTCTTTCTCACTGAAGTTTAATTCTCTTGCACAGTCTATTTAAGATTTGTCTTTTGTTTTTGATTTTTGTACTAGATGTTGGATTGTTCTTCTCTCGCCGGCAACTGAATCGTTTTCGAGATCCTTTGTCTATACAATTGCGAAGTGAGATCCTTTGTTCTAAGAAACAAGTAAGTTTTTGTTAATTCGTAGCATTTTATTCATTATTTCTTCTATGTTTGGTTTTATCTCTTGATTCTTTCTTTCGTAATTAGTAATTCTGGTCTCTTTCTACAGGTTGATCCTCTTACTCATCAAGTCAAGATCTGTTGCATCTCTTTCGCTTAGTAATTTTACTCTCTCTTTTGTTTGATTGTTAAAGTGTGTTTATTAACGTTTTTTAATACTTAATTATAGGCTTATATGCAATTTTTTAGATGTTCGATTGTTCAAGTGTGTGTGTATTAACGTTTTTTGATACTTTATTATAGGCTTATATGCAATTTTTATATGTTCGATTGTTAAAGAGTGTGTGTTAATCCACTTTTGTTCGTTTATAAGCTCCGTCTCATCTACAGTTCGTCTTTTATGTGTGTGTATATGTTGAGTGTAATGAGTTATTGTAATGAAACGTGAGTCTTTAGATGAAACGTTAGTCTTTAGATGAGTTATTCTAAGACTTGTGAGTGCCTTCTTTCTTTCGAATTCTTATGAATTGTCAACATGAATTGTCATCCTCAAAGTAACATTGGATGTGGGTAGTGGGACTACTTTAATATCTGCTGCTTTCTAGTTTTTAATGTTCTTATATGACATAAAAATCAATGAAATGATCATTTTAAGAATTTGATATAAATATCTTTAGAAAGTATGATACAGATCTAACATATTATCTTATATTAATTAGTTCCAATCATCGTACAACAAGAGATCCATTTTTATATATGCATTTTCTTTTGGGACAATTTTATAACTACCCCTTTTTAAGTCACTGTTTTTAAAAATACCCCCATTTAATGCTCATTTTCAAAAATACCCTTCATTGATGTTTAAATGACTAAGTTACCCATTCTTACAGAAGAGAGAAATAGGGAAGCCCTAGTTAGGAAATACATCTCCAAAATTCATCCATCTCCCGTTTTCATAGTGCTTTGTCGTGTCTGCTGAGATTTGATCTGCTATCTCGAGATTAATTGTGCTCCGATCCGTTCGCTCTGCTCCGATCAGTTCACTGTTCTCTGTCAAAGTTTTCACACAAATTCGCCTTCGCCGTGTCTTCTCTCTCTTGGCCGTGTAAGTGCCCTATGTTATCTCATCCTTGTTAATTGTTTGGGGTTTGACAATTTAGGGTTTTTGTTTAGATGTTGGAGATCGATTAAGATTAATTGTTACTAAAGTTGGGATTTTGTTTGATTCATATGGTTCGTTTAGAATTTTTTTTACTCAATATTGACTACAATTGTTCAGGGATGGCTTTAATCACGCTATTGAATTTGAGCTTAGATTTTGAAATGCTAGTTTTTGGTACTTTAGTTGCTGTTGGGAATGGCAAGAATTTCAGTTCAATTTAATCAGTGGTGTTTTTCGTCTTTCAAATGAATTGACTAAATTCCTTATGATTGAGTTTTCTTTGGGGTGGATCAGTTAGGAAACCTGCTATTTTAGTGATTTGCAACTTGGTAAATGTTATAGAAGATCTTTGAAATGTTAGAAACTTTAATACTTTATTGTGTTAGTACATTGGTAGGTTGCTGTTTCTTTGTATTCTGCTCTATTTATCTAGTAAATTTTGAAGTTTGTGGTTAAAGATATCTATGTTTGAATGGAAATTGTTAAATGTTTATAAAAACCTACCTTTTAAAAACCTTATAGAAAATGAAAATCATAAAAATTTTGTAAAAAATGGTTTATGCGTCAAAAGCTGCAGTCTCATAAGCATTTTAAAAGGTTTTTAAACATTTGGGTTTAATATTTGGGTTTTTGATGTTAATAAACAGATGGAAAATAGTGAACTGGTTGATAATCTTCTATTACCTAACGGTATTTATGAAGATGGAAGTGAACCATTCTCTCAAGCATCAATAATACAACATACGGATAATAAACTGATTTGGAGAGTTAAAGCTGTTTTGAGTGACGAGTCATTCAAGCAGCTTGAGGTTTCTTTCCTCGGACACATCATCAAGATTGCCTCAAAAAGCTTCAAATTTTCGGGTAAACTATTTCACTACATTATGATGAGGAGGCTGAAGACAAAAGGAAACATCTTGTGGTTCAGAATCGCTTCACAACCAACACGTTTCTCAATGAGAGAATTTTTTCTCTCAACAGGTATTTCATATATATTTTACGTCTTTGTTTGATTTCTGCCAGTTATAAAAAGTTTTTATAAGGTTTTAATAAGGATTTTATAAGGTTTTATAAGGTTCTTATAAGGTTTCTATAAGGTCTTTATAAGGTATTTATAAGGTATGTACATATCATTTGAATGTGAAATAAATGAATTATTTGAAAACTTATTTATAAGGTTTTTATAAGGTATGTACAAATCATTCGAATGTGAAATAAACGAATTTTATGAGTAGATTGAAAATACTAACCTCATTGTTTAATATAACACATGTATTCATTGTAAAAAGCTTGATACAGATCAAAGTAGGAAGGGGAAAAAACCTGCTAAGAAACCCTACACTTGGACATCGCGAAAAGATTTGAACTTGAGTAAATTGGAGGATTACTTGTTTTCTGAACCAAAGGATATATCTGATTTGGAGAAAACAGAGGAAACAGAGGCGCCGATGGAAGAGGATGAAAAACTTTGCCTTGCAGCTGTCATCCTTACAGAAGGATTCTTGATGATGCCTCATTCATTAGAGAGGATCCCAAGTTCAAAACTTCACCATGCATCCAATTTTGAGGCGTATACATCTTTGGCATGGGGAAAGGATGGATACCAATACGTGGGCGAAAGGCCAATATGAAGTCAAAGGTTTCCCTTTGGCATTGTTGATCTGGTCATTCAGTGATGTACCAACTTTTGGAGCGACATTTGCTGTATCCAACAACACATTAAGTTGTGTCTATCCTCTATATTCCAACTGGGAATCTTCGTCAACGCCAAGATTAGATCAAATCGTGGATGCCATTCAATCATCGGATTGTGTAAGTTTTCGTTCCTTTTATAACACTTTTTATTTGGTGATGAGCATGAATTTTATAAGGTTTTATATGGTTTTTAAAAGTATTTAAAAAGGAATTTTAATGGAGTTATTTAAGTGTTTATAAGGATTTTATAAGGGTTTTATAAGGATTTTATAAGGGTTTACAACGATTGTAAGGATTTTATAAGGGTTTTATAAGGGTTTTATAAGAGTTTACAACCATTGTAAATCCATTTTAAAAAGTTATTAAAACCTTTGTTATTTATTTTTTTATTGAGGTCAAATCTATTATTAGAGATCCAGAGGAATACAATCACCTAGTAGAAGAAACTCATGTAGACGACAAAGAGTTTGAAGATATTGTACACTTGGTGAGGAGAGGCTACAGATTAAAGGAGATTGATTGGAGGAACAAAATTGTTGAATACATTTCTGCGGAGGCAGAGTTGGGGCAGCAATTGTCAGATTCTGCCAAACTGGACAAGATCCTTAAACTGGTTGCGGACTTCAACAGAAGATTAGAAATACTTGAAGTGGTTCTAAAAGTCAGAAACAACATGGAAACATATAACGAGGTAAAATATTTGTAAATTTTAATTAATAAAAAGTTTGGGTTGTTTCCTATGATAATTTCTTACTTTTCTTATTACAGTCCGAGCTTGAAGGAGACAAAGATAAAAGTGAAGAGGTTAGTATATATTTTTTAAGGTTTTATATGGTTTTTAAAAGGCTTATAAGGGTTTTATATAGCTTTTAATAGGGTTTTTGAAAATTTGTGATACTCTGCCTGGTTCTTTATTTTTGTGTAGCAGGCTGGACAAAGTAATACTCATGAAGATATTGGGAAAGAAGATAGGGTTTTTGATGAAAATGTGAATAGCACTTTTGAAGATTCATTTCGTCAAGCAAACACCCAAGATGGAAGTTATGCCGGCGAAGATGAAAATACCGAAAAGAATGACAATTCTGATAATGCAGAAGAAGGAACACCAAGGGTATGATGATATAGTTTTTTATAAGTATACTAAATTCCTTTTAAAAGCCTTTTTGTAAAATTCTAGAGTGATTATGTTTGAGGGATAAATCCAATACTCCAAGTCATTCTTCACCAAAGTTCAATCTCTTTTCTCAAGAAAGTCAAGGTAAGCAGAAAGGATAAGAAAAACAGTCAACAGAAGGCAAGAAGCAGTAAAAAGAAAGTTGTTAGAGAGAGAAAGGAGGTTAGTGTTCTATTCTTTATAAGGATGTTATGAGATTATTGAAAAGATTTGCCAAGTATTTAGAAGCTTATATAAGGCATTGTCATAATATATGTAATGTTTATAATCATTTTAAAATGTTTACAACATTTTAATAAAGTTTTATAATGATTTTTAAAGAAGTTACACTAAACATGATTAATGTTTTTGATCTACAGAAAAAGTGTAAAGAAGGAGACAATGCTGAAGAAAATGTTTCTGAAAGAAAAGAGGTTAGTATCAGATTTTTAATTACTTTATAAGGTTTTTATATGGTTATTAAACTGTTTTTATAAGGTTTTTATAAGGCCTAAAGGAGATTTTATAATGTTTACCAAGAATTTATCAGGTTTTTATATGGTTTTTATCAAGAGTTTATCAGGTTTTTATATGGGTTTTATCAAGAGTTTATCAGGTTTTTATATGGGTTTTATCAAGAGTTTATCAGGTTTTATGAAAATGTTCCATACTTGGATTAAATGGTCTATAAATTTGTTCGTTTGTTTCATTGCAGCAAAAGAAGCGTAAAACAAGTAACAATCAAATGTTGATGATACAACAAAAGCTATGGTTAGTTTGCAATTAAAAAGATTACAATAGTTATTACAATTGAAAATCGATAAAATGCTGGATTAGTACTTTATTTTGTTCAGCCACGAAGAAAGAAGAATAAAGCTGATATTGTTGGTGAAGTAAAAAGGAAAAGTGAACAAAACCATGCTCCATCAATTCACACTCAGTGGCCTTACACGGCTGAGAAGAAAAGGCACCCAATTGTTCATCCCTTTGAAAAAGTTGATACAACACGGGTAGAACTATTGGCTAAAAGGAAGAGTTCAAGGAAAACAAAGTAAGTTTCAGTTTTATTTGATAAAAAAAGAAATGGAATTCCGTTTAGTTGTTTATAAGTGTTTTAAAAGCTGTAAATATGTTGTGTTCTTTTTTAGGCCTCTAACAATTCTAGGTAACAAAGTTGATGCCAAATGGTTCACAACACCTGAGACGCCAGGAAAATCAACAACAGCAGCTGTAAGTTTTCTAACAGTTTTAAATTGTTTTATCAGTTTTTTATAAGGGTTTTATAAGTTTTAGAATTGACTTTTCAGTTTACTTTTTTGAGAACATTATCAAAAACCGTTTAAAAGACTTATATGTAAATTTGTGAGAACCTAACTTTATAAAAACCGTATAAAAGCCTTATAAAAAACTAACAATAATTTTAGCGCTTTCTCTAATATTGTTGATCTGACTTTGATTTTGTTTTTATTGAGTTTAGCATATTGATGCAGCGGTCCAGCTATATAAGCAAAGAAAAAAAAGTCATCCTGATATTTATGTCAACAAAGATGCGACATTAGTGGATTCAAAAAATTTTCAGGCGATTGATGATTCCTACGCGATATTCCTTGACGACAAATATGGCTTTGACTTTGAAGATGAATGTTTCAGTAAGGTGTTTAAGGAGAAACGCACAAAAGTCATATTTGCACCAATGTGTGTCGAGGAACGGTTGTGGATACCACTAGAGATTAATTTGGCCTCACGATCAATCCATACCTGGGACAATGCATCATCATTTTTAGTGCTATATCAATGCCATATATTACACATAAGAAGTTTCCAATGGTAGAGAAGACTGATGACTCTCCGACAACTGTACACAGGTAATATTTGTAATTAGTAAAAGGCTTGCGAGGTTTTAAAATGATTTATAGTGTTTTTATAAGGTTGTTAGAAGGTTTTAAAGAGTTTTTATAAGGTTTATCAAGAGTTTATTAGGTTTTAATAAGGTTTATATATGGTTGTTATATGGTTTATAAGGTTTTATACTGTTTTTATAAGCTTTGATAAGTTTTTTTTTATATTTTTTGAGAATGTCTTGGTTTTGAGGTTATATTATATGTAAATACTATTGACTTTTCAGTTTGTTTTTTGTTTTTAGGTTAACAAGATTGAAGATAGTGGTGTGTACATGGTAAAGATAATGGAAAGCTATGCAATGTCTAAAAGGACTAATGACGAGTTCCTGGAACACATCATTGCAGATATCCGAAAGAAACTCGCGGTTGACATATTTGCTGAATTAGTATGAGTATTTTATTATACATAGGTTAGTATGAGTATTTTTTTTTAATATTGTAGGATTTACAACAGTTTAAAACAGTATTCTAACGTTATTCACATTACCTTGCGTAGGACTATGGATGACTGCTAAAGAGTGGTGTATGGAGAACTAGGACATATTTTATTTTACTTTTGGTAACTATGTCGATTAGAAAACACTTGTTGAAAATATTATCTTTTGAATACTTTTATCTTTGTTGAAAATATTATAACACTTCAATCATCTTTTAAAACCTTTACAAAGAGTTTTCAATGGATTTCCAAGAAAAATACAATATAACACTTCAATCATACTCGTGCTATTTCAATACTAAAACTATAATTGCGTGTTACGTGGTTTATAACCTTGTTTTAAATACAAGGGTTCTTACAAAAGGTTTGTAAACATTTTTTATAAGGTTCTCACATAACAAAATTATGAACATGGTTGTTCTTCTACAATTTTGAATTCACTAATAAAGCTTTACAAAGGTTTTAAATGAATTTCAAATAGTAAGGTTTTTATAAGGGTTTATTTGTATTTTGAAAATTTATAAGGGTTTTATACTTGTAAATGTTTAAATACAAGGGTTTTTTATAAGGGTTTTAAACTGTTTATATAAGGGTTCTCACAGAAAAAGAAAAAAGTCCTTTTAAAAAGTCTTTTACAATGAATAGGCCTTAAAATAGAACATGTCTTTTACAATGAATAGGTCTTTTAAAAAGTCTTTTACAATGAAAAACCCTCTGAGGAAATTTTTTTTTCTTTTTCGCTTTACTTTTCTTCTTCGTTTTTCTTTTTCGCTTTACTTTTCTTCTTCGTTTTTCTTCGTTTTTCTTCTTTTGTCTTCGTTCTTCTTTGTTTTTCTTCGTTTTTCTTTGGATCCCAACCGTTATTTTTCGTGCTTCCAATTCCTTCCTTGTTCTTCACCGAAATTGGGGATTTCATTGTTAATCTTCGCATGCTTCTCTCTTGGTTCGCCTAGTTTCGTTGTTGTTAGTTGTAGTTCACTGTCGCCGTCGTTAGTTGTGGTCACTGTCGCCGTTGCCTGGGGATTTTTGAGACTAGCATTGTACAGGTTTGCTTTAATTCCCAATTTCCAATTTTAGGGTTTTACCTAATTTTTAAAAATCTGAGTTTTTGTAGAATATGAGTTTTTTTTTTAATTTTTACCTAATTTTTGAGAATCTGAGTTTTGTAGATTTAAGTGTAGAGTTGATCATAAATTTAATCACGTTAGTGGTAAATGGAGGCATTTGTATAGGCTGATGGGTAGTTTTTTGGGAAAATTCCTTAAAAATTCCCCATATAATTTTAATTTGGAAGTTTAATATCCAATGCTATTTGATTGGAAATAAAATGCACCGTCTATTAAATTTTAGTCTATTAATACATTAAGTATATGAAAATTGTCGAATTGAATAAACCGCTTAATCGGATTGACGGAATGACTAAACCGAGGTTGATGAAATCACTAATCCCTAAACACACGGGTAATTTGGGGTTATCCAAAGACTGCATTGTCCTTTGCTATTACCCCAAATCGAATTGGGATCGATAAACCCTAAGTTTAGTGTAATTTCATTAACTCCGGTTTAGTGATTCCGTCAATCCGATTACCGTTTGTTAAGCGGTTTTTTCGATTTGACAATTTTTATATACTTGATGTATTAATAGACAACAAATTAATAAACCATGCATTTTATTTCTAATCAAATAACATTGTGTATTAAACTTCCAAATTAAAATTAGATGGGGAATTTTTATGGAATTTTCCCGTAGTTTTTTCAGGCTTTTTTCTTGTTTAGGTGGAACCTTGTTTCCAGTTTTGAGTTTCTTAGTAAACATTCAAAAGTTAAAACTCTATTTCTGAAGATGCAATTAAGTGTTTTGGTATGAAAATTTGGAATAAATACAATGTATTTTGGTAGATAGTGAAAGGTAATGCTGGAAATTAGGAACCTAACTCATAGACTTAACCTGTGCGACTCATTAAATAAATTCATCCAAAGTGATGTGAACTATCTATCAGATTATTAAACGTTTTTGATGATGATGAATGTTAACTGCTTATAAGAGTTCTGATTATTTTGCGGATGGTTAACAATGCCTCAATGCACATCATAGATCTACCTAAAGGGATCTATGATGATGGTTCTGAACCAAACATTTCAGCATCTATTATCCAACATTCAGATTTGAGGTTAGTTCCAAAAGTTAAAGCTGTTTTGAGCGATGAATCGTTCAAAAAGCTTCAAAATTCTTTCCTTGGACATATCATCAAGATTGAAGCAAAAAGCCTCAAATTCTTGGGCAAACTATTTCACTACATTATGATGAGGAGGCTGAAGACAAATGGAAACAACTTGTGGTTCAAAATCGCTTCACAGCCAACACGTTTCTCCATGAGAGAATTTTTTCTGTCAACAGGTATTTCATATATAGTTGGTTACGATTTGTAGTGGTTGGTTTTAGAAGTGTTTTAAATGATTTTTACATGGTTTTATACAATTTGAAAACAGTTAGGTAACGATTTAAAAGGTTTTAAAAGCTTTTTAAATGGTTGTATACAGTTTTAAAATGGGTTTAGAAGCTTTTTAAAATGTTTATAAAAGCCTTTTAAAAATAATTTTTAAGGGTTTATAAGGTTTTATAAGCTGTTTATAAGGTTTTTACAAGGATTTCATTTGGTTTTAAAGTATTGAAACGTATGTAAAAATTCTTTGAATAAACAAATTCTTTGAGTATATTGAAAACACAAACCTTGTTGTTTGATATAACACTGGTATTCGATGTGAACAGCTTGATATAGATCAAAGGAGGAAAGGGGACCCGTACAGCTGGACAAAGCGATACGATTTGACTATGAAAAAATTGCAGGCTTATCTGTTTGGTAACCCAGAGGCACCGCCGGGAGAAGATGAGAAGCTTTGTCTTGCAGCAGTCATCCTGACAAAGCCCATTTCCGAACATCTACTTGCCAAAGGTACGCTCCCAATTTTTCATCGGCTATGGATATTTGACCAAAGAGGTACTCAAACAGCTGTGTTATGTAGGCCTGTGAAGCGTCATAAAAGACAGGAATAAGTGTAGAACCTTTGAAGTTTGTTTCAAGGTTTTTCTGCAAGTGAAAAGTGCAGAGTGCATGATGAGTTTGGTGGTAATTTGCTGCAAGAGCATATTCAATTTAAGCTGCACGATCTGATACAAAAACCAGATCATTTTCGTCTGGAATAAAGGTCTTCAAACAACGCAAAAACCAGTTCCAAGATGCGTCATTCTCAGAATCTACAACAGCAAAAGCAATAGGATATAGACTAAAATTCCCATCTTGAGCAGAAGCAGCAAGAAAAGTCCCTTTAAACTTTGATTTCAAATGGGCGCCATCAATAGAAATGACTTTCCTCATCAACTTAAAATCTCGAATAGATGCACCAAATGCAAGAAAAGCATACTTAAACTTATTAGCAGAATGTACTTCGATAAAAGTGACAGTACCTGGATTCTTCATTGCTACCATGTGGAACCGCTTAGGAAGAACCTCAAAAGAATCAGAAGGTAAACCCCTAGCAACTTCTGTTGCATGTTCTTGAGCTCTCCATGCTTTTGAGTACGACACCCCAACTCCATGATCCTTTCTGAAGATTTCTATTAGTTGCTTGGGTCTGAGTGGAAGCTTTCCTCCTTCAAAATGGTTGCTAACCAATGTCTTTGCATCTGCTTGACGATGATTAACATTCCTTAATGTAGAGTCACAACTATGCAGACTGATATATTTTCGAATGATAAAACCATACGATCCTTTAACTCTAATAGCACGTAACTTTCAATTGCAATTTCATCAATGCAATTCAGAACATATCTCTTGTTGTCCGACTTCTTAGTCTGAAACTCAAAACTGTTTTTCAGCGCATACATCCGCAGCTGAGTAGTCATTTATTTTTTGCTTTTGAATAACTTTCCGCAAAACAAAGAACCAACATCAAGTAGAGCAGGAGGATTAGGGATTGTCGGAACCTGAAAGTACAAATTCAGTATCCTAATACATCTATACATTAAAATTACAAAAGCTTTTAAAAGCCTTTTATACGATTTTCAATAGATTTTTAAAAGGGTTTAAAAAGCTGTTTATAAGGATTTTAAAAGATTGTTATAAGGACTTTACAAGAACCAAGTTGTTTTCAAACTAACTTATAAACATTATAAGGTTACCTTATCTAAAGTAGTAGATTACTTGAGTACGATGTGGACAAGAAACATCAGTAGCCCAAAAAGAAGTTGTTTGGTTACGTATCACCGGCTGCTGATTAATGATAGTAGACGTTCTAGGTTCCTCAGCAAAAGTAAAAAGACCAGCAGTAGCAGCAAAAGGATTAGGCATTGTCGGAACCTGAAACTACAAATTCAGTATCCTAATAAATCTATGCATTAAAATTACAAAAGCTTTTAAAAGCCTTTTATACGATTTTTAATAGAATTTTAAAACGGTTTTATAAGGACTTTATAAGAACCATGTTGTTTACAAAGAACTTGTCTTGTTTATAATGTTTTAAAAGGGTTTTAAATGATTTTTATAAGGTTTTCAAAAGTTTGAAACAATATTTTTAAAAGAGGTTTACCTGAGAAAGAGAAGCAGAAGATACATCGCTTGCAACAAACTGATATGACCTAGTTTGATCCTGAAAAGTAAACACGTAATAAGTTAATAATGATTTGAAACAATATTTTTTTTTTAAAGGGTTTTTCTAAAGTAGTAGATTACCTGAGTATGATTTGGACAAGAAACATTAGTAGCCCCAAAAGAAGTTGTTTGGTTACATATAACCGGCTGCTGATTGATGATAGTAGACGTTCTAGGTACCTCAGTGGAAGTAAAAAGACCAGAAGTAGCAGCAGGAGGATTAGGCATTGTCGGAACCTGAAAGTACAAATTCAGTATCCTAATAATAGATGATTTTTTAAACAACTTGTCTTGTTTATAACGTTTTAAAAGGGTTTTAAATGATTTTTATAAGGTTTTCAAAAGTTTTAAACAGTATTTTTAAAAGAGGTTTACCTGAGAATGAGAAGCCGATGATACATCACTAGCAACAAACTGATATGAGTTAGTTTGACACTGAAAAGTAAACAGGCACTACGATTATAATGAGTTGTAACAATGGTTGTTTAAAAGTTTTTGTAAAAAATACATGAGTACGAGTAGGACAAGAAACAGCAGTAGCACCCTCAATGGACGAAGTAGAGATAGGTTCACGCTGTAAAAGAAAAATTAAGCTACTTTTTTAAAAATGGTACAAGATTGTAACAGACATAAAGAGTTCACTACAGTCACTAAAGTTTGTAATGATTTATAAGCAAAATTAAGCAACAAGGTTTGTAAAGTAGAAAATTACCTCAGTATTAGAAGGACAAGAAACAGCAGTACCGACCGCAGTTATCTGATTAGTTATAGATTCACATTGTTAAAGGAAAAATAAGTTACTTTACAAAATATGTTACAATAGTAAAAAAGAAAGAGATCAATAAAATATATCTGCTCAACTATGACACAGTTATCCTCTACAGTAACACATAGATGAATACTCCGTGTTTGTGCATAAATTCTCATAAAAGCTGCCAGTTGCCTATCATTTCTAATAAAAATTGGATGACTACCTAGTGTAGCAGTCATAAAAGGCAACTGAAAACTAAGCTTTAGAGAGTGTCTCTGATTATCAATTGCAAAATCTTCATAAAGAATTTTGACCAAATCACTAAAACTAGTTCCCTCATCAATGCTAATCAGAGAAACTCCCCTCTCATCATCATTTTCAAATTCCTATTTAATATTATGCTTCAACTTCCATAATCCACAAACTGAATACAGTTCAAGCATCTCTAATAAGTTCTGCGAAAACAAAACAATATCACAATGAAAACGTGGTCAGTAAATGAATTATAAGGATTTTAAATGGATTTTAAATGGTATAAGAATAGAAACAACAATGAAAAAAATCCTTCAAAATTCAATAACATATAACAACAAGTACATCGAAGAAGAACAAATTGGTTGAAAAAGTGATGAAATCGACCTAATCAAGAAGTGATGAGGTCGATCTAATCAAAAAGTGATGAGATCTGGGAAACGAACCAGGAAATATGTAATTAAGAGACGAAGGCGATAGAGAGAAGAGACGAAGGCGATGCCGAGAAGAGACGACGGCGATGGAGAGAAGAGACGAAGGCGATGCCGAGAAGAGACGACGGCGATGCCGAGAAGAGACGACGGCGATGCCGAGAAGAGACGACGGCGATGCCGAGAAGAGACGACGGCGAGAGTCAACGACGGTGAAGCTTCAAAGTGAAACAACGAAGAAAGGAGAAGAGAAAGGAGAAACGACGAAACTGTGTTTAGGTCATTAATGAGGGTAAAATTGTCTTAAATTTTTTTAAGAGGGTATATTTAAAAATGCTCCCTTTATGGGGGTATTTTTAAAAAGAGATACCCCAAGAGGGGTATATCTAAGAAATTCTCTTTTCTCTTTTGATTATGAAATATCTAATTAAATATTTTATTGTAACTCAATTTCCAAATAATTTATTCTTACCTCTTTCTTATTCAAATAATTTTAACTCACACTTTAATATAAAAACTGAAATAATATAAATTTGCATTAACTATGTTTTTCTACTCAATTTTATTCAACACACAATAAATTAGAATTAGCTCCCAAAATTTGTTTCTTCTAATTTGTAACTTCCATCACTTCTTATCTTATAAATACTCATTTTCTCATCCTCTTCCGCTTTATCTTAAATCTTATATATTTTTGTTTTGTTTTGTTTTCTGGTTTTTTTCCTTTGTTGTTTGTTATTTGTTATTTGTTGTATGAGTTAATATATATATATATATATATATATATATATATTTAATAACATTGTAAAAGTTTAATTAAAATTTTCATTTTACACTATATGAATATATGAAATGTCTCTTAAATTTTCTTTTTTAAGATTCATCTCTTTTTTTTGAACGAAAGAAGATTTTATAATTAACCATGTCAAGATACAATTGTTGAAGCCAGCTTGGTGGATAAACACCATTACAAAGGAAAATTCTATCTAAACAACCAAATTTAGCTAATTGATGAGCAGCTTCGTTACAAATTCTTTTTGTAAATACAAAGAAAATTTCAGTAAAAAAAGTTGTCCAATGAATAATGTTTGAAACTATCTCAGTGATGGAGGCATTATGAAGTGTCCCGTTAAGCATATTTATGAGATCAGAATAATCACTTTCAAAGTAAACTTTACGGTAACCCTTTAGCCAAACTTGTTGCATCGCCGCGAGAAGGCCCTTTGCCCCAGCTTCTAAAGGAGTAGACGAATTAGAAAGTAAGGAAGATCCCCAATACTTAGAATAACCCTCACTATCACGAATTCATCTCTATTGTCTGTTTTACATTATCATCTTATAAGTAATGCTTCTCCCATTCCCAGCCACTATATTCATGTATCTAAATATTTTACTACTTTTATGTTGTTATATGGATTGAGAGTCAATGAAAATATCATTTTAAGAATTTGATCTAAATTTATTTTAGAAAGTATGGTATATATCTTATAAAGCTTCAATTTTTTTATATTTCTAACGCCTTATTATACTTATATTTTCATACTTATGAATCAAGAAAATATGATATAACACATATGTAGAATAACAGTTTTGATTGCTATATAAATAAAAGTTTCGATTTAAAACATTTATCAAATAATTTTTTCTTATTTTTTAATCTCAAATAGTTTTTGTAATTCATTCCTATATATATATATCATTATATTTAGTTTTTGTGATCAAATAGACTCTTATATTTTTTTATAATATTTAGTTTATTTAAAATTTGCAGTCAAAGTGTTAAAAAATACGTATATACTTGTTTAGAAAAAATTGCTCCTTGAATTTTTTCTTTTAAAGATCTTTCAATTTTATGAAAGTGAAATTTAATTTAATTCATTAACTAAACTAAATCCACTAAAATCCTATTAAATTATAATAATTAATAACGTATTAATTACACAATAATATCATACCCCACTCTACACCCTTAGTAACTTAACCTCATTTGGTAGAAATAAATAATATTTTTATATTCATAATAATATAAATACCTACCCAAATTATTTTTCCTACAAAAGACCGAACATAAAATCGATTTGTCATAAGTAGGTCAGTATTGTTGATGTACATTTAATAGATAGATATTGTCGTTTATATTCTTTGTTAATGTTCATCACTAAAATCCTATTAAATTATGATAAATAATGTATGAGTTACACATGAATATCATACCTCAGGCTACACTCTTAGTAACTTAACCTCATTTGTTATAAATAAATAATAACTTGTCTTTTCATAACAATACTAATACCCTTTTAAAAACCTTTTAAAAACCTTATAAAACTTATAAAAACGATTTAAAACTATTTAAAACATTTTAAAATATTTGTATCGAATCTCGCAGTAGTACTTATTATATAGAAGTACCTTATAAACTATATAAAACTTTATAATTTTTTATATTTAAAAAGGGGTATTTTTGAAAATGGTTAGATAAAGGGGGTATTTTTAAAAAGGGTACACCAAAAGGGGTATTTCTCAAAAATTCTCTTAAAACAATATATCATATGTTTCAAATGAAATCTCTTACTTTGATAGTTTAAAAAGTTTAACTTGATCATTTTAAAAATTTAATTTACTTTTAGGTAATGATAAAATATAAGGTGAGTAAATGCTCATAATTAAAGTCAATTTTGCTTACTTTTAATATTTACAATGTACACAAAATAATTTTGTCATCAAATTTACAGTTGCCTACTATATTGTGTATATGCTAATTTTGTATTACTTTGTTTAGATCTCATTCAGTTTTATATTTTAATATACTTTATTTTTATTTTTAATGTTTACAATGTTCACAAAATATGTTTTATACTAATTTTGGGATCGCGTTTGATTTTATTTGTGAGCTAATTATTTTGTTTTAAACATAAAAATTAATATTATTTTGTAATAAACATATAAATGAATATAAATGTATTATTTTGTTTTAAAATTATGTTAATAATATTTCAAATTAATATTTTATATAACCTACACATTGCGTGGGCAACTTTCTATTGATTGTATAAAATAGTAGTTATCATGATTAAATGGGAAAACGATCTATTTTCCCCTGAAAACTAACTTATCAATCCAGATAGAGCCCAAACTTTGACCTCGATGTAGATATCCCCGAAAGAAAAGTTCGAATCCTCTTTCTCCCCGAGATGAAAGTTCTCAACCTAATTCCCCTGATTATTTTTTAAAAAAAAATTCCAAATAAGGAAAATTTCTCTATAAATTAGTAATTATTAATTTATCGATAAATTAAAATCTCCATAAATTAATAGATTTTAATGGTCCCAACATTATTAATTTGTAAAAGTTTTACTGTATATGAGATATATATATATACAGTAAAACTTTATATTTGTGCACTTGTAACAAAAGATTAATATAATATATGTATATGTTATATTTGATATAATATTTATATGTATGTGTGCACATATAATAAAAGACAAAGTATGATTTTACTCTTGTAGAGATTTATTCAAAGTGATTGGACTTTAGCCCATAGCTAAACGTAGGTTAACGTATATATAAGCTATATATATTGATATAAAGTGACGTCAACGTAAGGGGTAGCACATTGTCGCCAACCCTAATCTTGGCATAGAGATTTTGTCTTGTTCTTGAGTTCATCTCCCTACGTCACTAGCATCCCGTGTGATGCAATTTGTGTGTGTGGATACAAGATAAATATCTTTGGGTTTATCGAAGATTTGATACTGAAAATTCATGACCGTGCTCAATTGAGGTGAAAGTCAATCGTTTGTTATCTTTTATACTATAAAGCACAAGTCACCTGTCCAATAATATTTAGCCACATCAGATTATTTTCTTTTCAAAAAAAAAAAAATACTACCCACGATATAAAAACTTAACTCACGAACAATCTGAAAAAGAAAAAAAGTGAACTTCAACTCATTTTTCGGATCTGAATAATTATTTTGGGCTATATTATAAGCCCAAGCCCATAACATTTCTTTCCTAAATTGTAGAACTATTTTTTTTTTATCATCTCTTGCATTTTCAACCAAAATATGACCAGCATAAACTGAAAAAATCTATCCCTAATTTTAAGGGGGGGGGTATTGGGAGAATGATTTTTAAAGATTCTTAGAGTTTAAAATTCTCTTGTTATTGGTTTATGGATTCTTGAATTCTTACTAAAGTCTTTTGTTATTGGTATGATGATTTTGTAATTCATTTAAAATCTTGTGTTATTGGTGTGTTGATTTTTAAAAATCTTTTACAATCATTTGTTATTCAAAAAGTTGTGAATTCATTGATTTTGCAATTCTATTAAACTCTAGTGTTATTGAGAAAATGATTTTATACACATTTACACATTAACAACAACTTTCAAAATCCTCTACTCATCCTAGATATTTGCAAAGTCTATAAGAAGTATAATCCAAACGTAAACGTATCACGTATGTCATCTTATAAAAAAAAAATATGTTTGGATAACAAACTCAAGTAACAAAATCCAAACATAATAAAATAACGTATCATGAGTATCATCTTTATAAAAAAAACATATGTTTGGATAACAAACTCCTCCAAAGGTAATCAAACGTATGATGAGAGACATGAAACAACGTTTTCTCTCGTCGTGACACCAACCTGAAAC